TCATGAAAATGTGCCAACATATATAATCAGTTCTCAGTTGTGCACTTGGGTTATCTAGATTTAGTAACAATTGTAGTCAGTTGAGCAACGACTTCTCAACAAACCTTGTGTTGTATGATTTTGCCACACTGACTGTTCTACAATATCCTTTGTACATGTGTTATGAAAAATGACAATCTGTTGCCAATAGACAAAAGACTCATCCCTTTACATTTAAGCATCGCTTTTCAAAAAAAAAAAATGTTTAGACACCAGTCTCAATCCGACAGGGTAAAGGTGGCGCGGCCGGAGCGCGGTGAGACAAGCTGTATTGTTTCTGATATTGTTCTCCTTGTTTTGTATTTATTTTTCCTAACGCCCTCCAAACCGGTCACTCTCACACTCACACTACTAATACGTTTGACTAATTTAATTAACCTACAATATTTATGCATAAATTAAAGCGACATCTCGAACAATTTAAAGCCAATGACACGCTTAAATTTAGTAAATTGGCAGTTAACAAGCCACTTGGGCTATAACCTTAAATTCATTTGCATAATTTCTTTCAACTCCTTCACTGCCGGGAGTCAGTGATCTTTGTACGCGGGGAGTGTTGCGCCACTCCACGCAGGTTCAAACACTTTACGGGCCGCGGCCGCTGCATCCGCCACCGCCGCGGCCCATACCCCTTGTGTCAGCAAAATCGCCGTCGGGCGCGTCGCGAAGGGCCGAGGCCCGGAGCGACGCGGCCGCGGACGGGCAGTCGCAGCCCAACCGGGATCCAGGCAAGGTGAGCCAAGTGTCTGTGGGGAGTGACCGGGGTCCGAGCACATGTGCAAGTGGGGGACTAGATTCACTTTCACTGTCAATTATACTAACAGGACAATCAGTCAATAAATCATGGTTACGTCATAACTACCTCCTTGTCTATTCAGTTAGGTCCGTTAGTTTGGTATCAAAACAGCGCGTCAATTCGCGCGACGAGCTGCACGCGCTGTAGACGCTGTCCCCGGCCCCAATGCACGCCGGCACCTGATGCCGGCAGCCCCTCCGGGAGAAGGGGACGGGGAGGAGGCAGCTGGCTACATCTTTTCGCTCCCTCACAAAAGCGTTTCTCGGATTGACTCCGCCGTGTCGTGTCGCGCCGTGTCGCCACGCGTGTCTCCCGCCAAATGGGTTTTCTGTCTGCGCGGCGCCGCGACGACTCCCAGCAGTGCGTCTCCCTGGCGGTGTTGCCGGCGTGGGATAAGACGGGGGGTAAATGGGGGAAGCGCCCGGGAGACGCCTCGTCCCCGCTGTTCCTCCAGGTCCCCCAGTGCCTCGCCCACGGCCTCGCCCACGGCCTCGCCCACGGCCTCGCCCACGGCCTCGCCCACGGCCTCGCCCACGGCCTCGCCCACGGCCTCGCCCACGGCCTCGCCCACGGCCTCGCCCACGGCCTCGCCCACGGCCTCGCCCACGGCCTCGCCCACGGCCTCGCCCACGGCCTCGCCCAGGGCCTCCAGGACATCCGGGACCGTCCAGGGCCCCCGGCGGCCCTCCGGACTTGGCACAGCCCGCACAGCACCTCCAGGACGACGGGGCGCCGATCGGAAAGGAACAGGGGCGTTTAATGGAGTCTCCCCGTCGCCTTCATAATTCATAATTCACAAAAGTTGCCAACTTTGCGACTTGGCGACTTTTCCCACGGCCCCAGCCCGGCGCCGCCCAGTAGTAGCGTTCAAGTTTCTCCGCTTTTATTTTTAAATAGCCGCGAGCCCGTCTCGCTGCCCCACCCTTTTTTCCACTCGCCCCGCGTCGCCTACACTGGACGCGCGTGAGCGTGACGCGTGACGCGTGCATGACGGGGCACATCGCGTGCAGCGGGGCCAGCGGGCCGCGGCCAGGAAGCGAGGGCGGCGCGTCAAATATTCAGCAGGAGCGCGTTGATGGCCACCATAGCCAGGCCGGGCTATGGCGGCCACGCGGCCCGCTCATAATCTCACGCTGCCTCGCTTCGAAAAAAACACGACAAAGTTGGACAACTTTTTTTCCCCTTTCCCCTCCGAGGCGCCGACTCGACGCTGTTCGATTCCTGGAACGGCCCGGCCGACGGCCCGGCCACTGACGCGCGTGTTGGCAGAGCTAACTTTGGGGCGGCGCGGCGGTGCGCAGCGCGCAGCATGCGTAGCATGCGTAGCATGCGTAGCCGTGGGCCTGGTGTCGCGGGGCGAAGGCCTGGAGCGCCCGTCGACGGCGGGGTAGGCCGCAAGCGGGCACCGGCGTGCCGCGGGACTGCCTACCCGGCAGGCGCTCCGTTACTATTACCACTACGGGCTCCTGATCGTATGCCGTTTCGGGCCCGACACATGCTCGCCTGCACTGCAAGACGACACATGGCCGTCCTCACTAGGGTGACGCGTTATGGCGGCGGAGAAGAACCTCCGGCCGGTGCTCTGCAGCGCGCAGAGCGTCAAGCGTCAAGCACTCCGTCAAAGCCAAGCTACATGCGTCGTGCTGGGGCACGAGGTTGGGTACTCACGGGTGACGCCCTTCTCCAGGTCCTCGTAGTAGCCGACGAGGGCCAGCTGGTGCAGGATGCTGCTGGGCAGGCGGTCCAGCGCCTCGACGCGCCGCAGGCGGTGGGCGATCAGGTCGGCGTCGCGGCGACTGCGGTCGCCCGGCCTGCGGACCAAAGAGTCGCCAAAAGTTAATGTTGGGGTTTGGGGAATAACTGATGTTGCAGCGTCGTCCTGAGTCACGCCCGCGTACGCGTACGCGCACACGGCGCGTCGTCGCCGTGGTGGTCGACGGGCTGCTGCGTTCGGGACGCCCCTGTCTCGGCGCCGTGCCGCACCGATCCCCCGAGCCTCAGTGACGCGTCGCCCGCCCCGCCCCGTTACCGCAGCCCCGCCCCACCCTCGCTTAGACGGTGTTCTGAGCGGCAACAATCAGACCATTCTGAGGGGGTTGTTAACCCTCGTAACAGGCCGACGATTCCGCGTCCCCCGTCGGCCATCCCCCCTCCCCTTCCACAGTCTCACACTCACGGCGCGTACGAGAGAGACAGCACGACGGTGGCAAGTTTGCTTGCCACAAAATTGGCAAGCCATTTTGAATGCCTTGATCAGAAATCTTTATTAGCTTGCCAATATTTGGCGCTCCGGCCGCCTGCAACGCGAAATTTCGGCTAGCTGGGGGGTATTTCAGGGCCAGGCTTGCCAATAATTCTGTGGCCAGCAAGCGTGCCAGCGGCTGTGCAGTGTGGGCGAAGCGGAATCAGTCCGCGGCTGCCTGGCTGCCTGGCTGTGGTGCGCTGTGGCCACGGACTCCATTACCAAATGGAGGTCCGCTTTATACGGCATTTCAGTCTGCTGACGGTCAAAGCGCCGAGCGGCGGGGAGAGGAGAGGCGACGTGGATCCAGGAGCCGCGGCCAGCACTCACACCGACACTCCCCACTCACACGCACGAGGCGGCACAAGGAATCCCCCGACCCGTCAGTCTGCTTTGCGCGGGAACACGCTAACCGGTCTATTCCCCGAGCACAATAACCACTCGGCATGAACAAGCAGCGAGGCAGCGAGGGGCGGCACTGGAATAGAGGCATCGCCGGGGGAGGGGTAGGGGGAGGGTACACCGACCGCAGCGCGCAGAGCGCAGGTGGCATGTGGGCTGGGCCGTCTGCGGGTGCCGATGATTGTGCGCTCCACGCCGTGCCCGAGGCCGTGCCCGAGGCCGTGCCCGAGGCCGTGCCCGAGGCCGTGTCCGAGGCCGTGCCCGAGGCCGTGCCCGCCATGGCACACTGCATCGACTAGAGGGTGCTGTGCGGGCAATGGAGCGGTGGATTTGAAAATGAGGGTGGTAACGCCCCTGGCTGCGCCGCTGACTGGGCTGCCGCCCCGCCGCCCCGGCACGCTGGCTGGGCTGTCCCTGGGCCTCGGCCTGGGACTCGGCCTGGGACTCGGCCTGGGACTCGGCCTGGGGCGGCTTGTGGATAATGGGCGGCAAGGACTGGCGAGGCGAGGCCCGACCCGCCTCGGTTTATTGATAAGAGGGTCCGGAAGAGAGCTACCTGGGAGGGAGGGGGCGGGGGAGGGACCCTCACACACAGGGCACACTGTGCGCACAGGGCCCGAGTGTGCTCCAACGAAACGTGGGCTGTCATTGCGGCTTGCGGACCATTGGCCGTCGAGACAGCGCCGTTTCCTGCCACTTCGTGCACGTTGGTCCGTTGGTCGAAACGCGTTGGCTGAGGCACGGAGAAATGCCAGAGGGCCAGACAGAGGCCAGGGGCTGCCCGGAGGCTGCTGCTGTTGTGATGCCCAAAGCGACCCTCTGAAAGCAACCCCACCCGACCTCGCCCTCGCCCCCTTCCCTTGTGGCGCTCGTGTTTCAGTTCAGGACCTGCCGCCCTGCCGCCCTGCCAGGTTGCCGGTCCAGTGGAGGCCAGAGGTGGACACGCGGACCCGCAGCACGGCCACGGTATGGCCACGGCATGGCCACGGTCTCGGTGGTCTCGGCCCCGGCTCGACAGAAAGCCGCCCCTCCCCGCCCTCCCCGCACAGCAGCCCGGCAAAGGGCAGGCCAGGCAAATCGATGTGAGGGGTAGGTGTGCTCGTCAAACAGTCTACCTGGGAGTCTGGGTGGCGGACGCACCGTGAAATGACCACCGACAAGGCCGACGACGACGACGTCACCGACGAGGCCACCGACGAGGCCGCCGACGAGGCCGCCGACGAGGCCACCGACGAGGCCACCGACGAGGCCGCCGACGAGGCCACCGACGAGGCCACCGACGAGGCCGCCGACGAGGCCACCGACGAGGCCGTCGACGAGGCCACCGACGAGGCCACCGACGAGGCCGCCGACGAGGCCGCCGACGAGGCCACCGACGAGGCCACCGACGAGGCCACCGACGAGGCCGCCGACGAGGCCGCCGACGAGGCCACCGACGAGGCCACCGACGAGGCCACCGACGAGGCCGCCGACGAGGCCGCCGACGAGGCCACCGACGAGGCCACCGACGAGGCCGCCGACGAGGCCGCCGACGAGGCCGCCGACGAGGCCACCGACGAGGCCACCGACGAGGCCGCCGACGAGGCCGCCGACGAGGCCACCGACGAGGCCACCGACGAGGCCACCGACGAGAACGCTAGCAGGGCAGCTAACAGGGCCGCGCCACTACATGGAGACTGCTTTATTGGATGCAGTCGGATCGGAAATAGAATGTCATAAACGAACGTCGCTGCTTCGCTCGGCGGCGGGGCGGGCGGGGCGGGCGGGGCGGGCGGGGCGGGGCTGGGCGGGCTCCAGTGGGGGCCCGCGCCTGGCTAGCGCGGCCGCACGGCGGGGGGCGAGATGGGATGTCGGAATGAATCGCCCCCGGAGCAAGGCGAATCCGCCAGGCAGAAGACTGATTCCGAGACCTATATTTCGTCGCTCTGTCTCTCTCGCACCTATACGGGAGGCCCCATGAGTGCGAGAGAGACAGAGCGACGAAAACGACTCTCGGAATCCGTGGGCAGTGTCCCCGCCGTCCAGCCCGTCCAGCCGTTTCCCCGGACCCTGAGGTGCTCGTGCTGGCTGGCGGCGTTCCTCGGCGAGCCTCGGGCGTTCCACCGGCATTCCGCCCGCCCCGCCCCGCCCCGCCCCGCCCCGCCCCGCCCCGCCCCGCCCCGCCCCGCCGCGCCCCGCCCCGCCCCGCCCCGCCGCACCCCGCCCCGCCCCGCCGCGCCCCGCCCCGCCCTTCAGACCCACCACTGGCGACACCACATTCGTTTCGACCCCGCCCCGTTTTCTGGCCGCTGCACCGCGACACTCCGCCCGGCTTGCCGACGGCTTGCCGATTCCGGCGAGAGCGCCTGGCCTTCCCTTCCGGTGGGGAGCCTCAGCCGGAAGTGGCGCTTGGGCCGGAACGGCCCGGAAGCAGAGCAAGCAGTGCGCAGCCAAGTAACCAAACTCCGGGACCTGGAGCCGTACTCATCGTTTGTACGAGCATGTTAGTGAAACCGAGACCTGGAAGCCACAGGATTGGACCGCAATGGTAGTCAGAAAGTGTGGATGCTGCTGGGATTCGATCGCCCGATCGGAGTGTCGATTACCGACACCTTTCCGCACTGGGCCATCTTTGCCTCTGAACTCTGGTGAGGCAACGGAGTTCAAACCGCAGGTTTCTTAATTTTTTTTAAAAAAAATTGAAGATTTGTTTTTGTGATTGATGGTCCGGGCCGAGAGTCGAGAACCGATGCCTCTTTGCGTTGGCCACCACCAATGGGCTTCACATGGGGCGCCCCCCCCCCCAACCCGCGCCCCGCGTCGCATCGACGAATATGCTCTCCGCCCCCGGTTGGGTTGGGATTTTATTTTTAGGCCTTCCTCGCCGCGCCGTCGGCCAGGCCCTTGGCCAGGCCTTTGGCCAGGCCAGCCTCCAGCCTCGGCCACCACACTCGTTCCAGGCCGCTGAGGTCAAAGCCGGCCACGTCTTGGGTAGGAAAATATACGGCCGGTTCGATTTCCTTTAATTGGCTGCCTATCGTTGACGTTTTGGGGGAAATATGACAGAAAAACACGCACCGTGCGTCGCACGGAGTGCAGCATACCCGTGATTTGCCTGGCAACGGTGGTTTAGGGAGGGGGGCGTGGGAACGGCGAGCGATTGGAGGTTCGGAGTGCCACTCCAGCGGAGACTCCAGCGGAGACTCCAGCAGAGACTCCAGTGGACTGCTCAGCCGAATGCAGCGGCGGCAGCGCCCCTTTGCCGCGCGGCGCCGCGCGCTGCCCGTGGACAGGCGCGTCATGAAATATGGAGGAGATACAGGGAGTCAACTTGAAAGGCTGCCCCGCCGCCCAGCCCGGGGTCCTTTATAATGTCGACAGTCGAGATCACGGCCATCAAGGACAAGGACCCCGCCCCGCCCCGCCCCGCCCCGCCAGGCCAAAGGAAGGCGAGTGGAGGGGCTAATACGTCCACCGCGGTGCTCGGCGACGAGACAGAGAGGACGGCGGGCACGGCACGGTGGGGACTTCGAGGTGGCCGAGGCCCACCATCGACCGCCGTCGCGGCAAGCAGCGGCAAGCGTCCCGGGTGAGCCGGTCCGACCCGCCGGCCTCGCTTCTTGTCCTTCTCGGGGTCGGCTGGCGGAGACTGGTGGCTCCACGGCGAGTCCGCGTGGCGTGGTGGCGTGGGGCGCCGGGCGTGGGCAGCGGAATCATTCCGAACAGTGCTTTCGTCGCTCTGTCTCTCTCGCACTCATGAGGTGGTCCATAGAGGTGCGAGAGAGAGCGATGAAGCAGTGTTCGGGCCTGCTGAGCGATTCAGAAGAGCGGTTTGTCGCTCTGTCTCTCTCGCACCCTCATGGAGAGGGTGCCCATGAGTGCGAGAGAGACAGAGCGACGAAAACGACACTCGGAATCAGTCCGCATCAGTCACGAAGGCGCGGCGCTGCCCTGCCCTGCCGCGTCGTCGGCCAACCCACAGCGGGGGATAAAGTTTGCCGTCGGGCAGTGGAGCCTCGCTATGCGACCTGCACGGACCAGCGTGCCAGCGTGCCAACGTGCCCACCTGGCATCATAAAGCAGGAACGCCGAGGGACGCACTCCACATATTGCAGCGAGTGCCGCGGGATGTCCCCCCTGGTCTCGCCTCGCCTCGCCTCGCCGCGCCGCGCCGCGGGGGTTTCCTAC